AACAAAAAAAGGAAAATACACACACACGCACACACAAGCACAAATTCAAAACAAGTTCATCTAAAATGAAAAAAGATGGCAGAGGAAAATTATAGTTTGCTCGAACGAGTCAATCTCTCCCGCTATCTACCAAGTGATAGTTAACATGCCTTGCAAACTTGTACGTCGTCTTTAAAAGCTAGAAAGCAATTCTTCAAATGGAAGTTTCGGAAATCACGCAAAAGCCACGGTTATATGAGGTTTTTCTGCATTCATGCATAGAAAACACTAAATGTCGATAAAGCGAAATCTAGTAATGAGCTCTCTGCTAACTTTAAAATAACAAGCATTTGGAGTTTTGAAAGTATGAAGAAAAAGTCTTTAGACTTACCGACGTTACCGTAAATTGGAAAAAAAAATAATAATCACAGAAGCTCAAGGACAAGAGCCGAAGCACCGCCTCCTCCATTACAAACACCACCAACACCGTACTTCCCGTTCTTATGCTTCAATACCTAAAGGCAACCACAAGTTCGAGAATATCATAATCATGTTGGAAAATGGTTATTAACGAACTATCATATTTTGAAAAAACTCCAACTCTCAACAATGGTATATGATTACTTAACGTATAAATCGAAACATACACCAAGAAGTGTGACCAAGATTCGAGCCCCACTGCAACCAAGAGGATGCCCTAATGATACGGCTCCACCATGTACATTCACTTTCTCCTACAAAATACACTTTTTTTTTTTTGTTTTAAGGGGAAAAGAAAAAGAAAAAGATTGAGTTATGAACTCACTGTACTAAGACCCAATAGCTTCTGATTTGCCAGAGCCACGACCTGCAAGATATTACATTTTTTATAATAAACTACAAAGCTTGGGCTTCGGTAGACATAATTCTTGCTTATTAACAACATACTGCAAAGGCTTCATTGATCTCATAATAGTCGATTTTGGATGATTCTAAGCCAGCGTTTGAGATTGCTTTTGGGATTGCAAGTGCTGGGGCAGTTGTGAATAAGTTTGGTTCCTGCTCAGCATTTTCAAATGCAAAAACCATCAATAAATTGAAAAGAGAAAATGCAGAAATGGGACTTCTTTCAATTTTTTTTTAAAACACACACAGAGAGAGAGAGAGAGAGAGAGAGAGACATAAATATTCACTTACTTGAGCAGCATCAGCATAACCAGAGATTTTTGCAATGACTTGAAGCCTAAGTTGCAGAGCCTTTTCTCCAATTACTAACACGAGAGCAGCAGCGCCATCACTGAAAACACGGATCAAAATCCACCGGTCAACAACTCTTCGAATATTTTTACCATTTAAAGTGTTATCGTAAGTAAATACAAAAGAGTAAACTTGATTTTCACCTTATGCTAGACGCGTTTCCAGCTGTTACAGTACCACCAGTTTCCTTGAAACTCGGTCTCAGCTTCCTCAACTTCGCAGCATCAAACTGACGAGAAAGAACAATTCAGTTTAGAAAACAAAAGAACTGCAGATTGTAAATTCAAGATTATCCTCGCATGGAACATAAATTTCTGCTAGTGAACAAAAACTTTGAAAGGTATCATAATAGCCTAAAATTACATGAAATCATGCATGCACGTTCAGAATGGGAGAATTGTTTCTTAGAATTATGACTTTTCCTAGATAATATGATCGAAACAAGCTGAAATGCTAATAACTTTGATACACATAATAAACCAAGGAAAAAATTGGCGAATTTCACCTTTCCGAGACCTTCATCTTTAGCAATAATCGTGGATGGTCTTCCTCTACCCCCAGATACCTAAACCTGCAGGCACAAAGATTATATATTTATTTACAATGCAATTAAAAAAGAGAAACTAAGTTTTGAAGACAAAAGTCTTAGTTATCTTACGGGAACAATCTCCCATGCAAAAGCATCATCATCTTGAGCTGCAATTCCACGCTCAAAGCTCTGGACCGCATAATCATCCTATACAGATAATATAAAGCAGCATAAACGTTTATGAAAAAAAAAAACTAAACTGTCGAATGTTTTTTCAGTTATATCTATGAAAACAAGGAATATATAATACAACACACACTTGCTGCTCTCTTGTAATACTGTGCTGTTCAGCGCATAACTCGGCACAAACTCCCATGCCAACGTCACTATAAACATCCCACAATCCATCCTTCAACATTCCATCAACAAGAGAATCATGTCCAAGTCGAGATCCTTTTCTGAAAATAAGGATACAAAAACATAACTGAATTCAACTAGATCGAAAAAATAAATCAAATATTCCATAAATGTTAATAAATAATAACTAATAAAATTACCTTGCCTCAGCCAGGTACTTTGGGACATTCGACATGCTTTCCATGCCACCAGCAACAACAACATCATTTATGCCTAACTGAATACTCTGTGCCGCTAGCATAGTTGCTGATCAAGGTGAGANAAAAAAAAAAAAAAAAAAAAAAACGTAAAATTCCAGTCGAGATATAATCTCATCATATGATAAAAACTGTTGTTAAATTAAACCTTTCATTCCAGATGCGCAAACTTTGTTGACAGTCGTGCAGATAACCGAATTAGGAATGCCCGCGCCTAAAGCTGCTTGCCTAGCTGGAGCTTGTCCTAAATTAGCACTCAGTACATTACCAAAGACAACTTCTTGAACAAGTGATGGATCCATATTTGCTCTTTCCAGTGCACCTTGCGTAACATAAATAATAATTTAAATAAAGCAAAATGAAAATAACCTTGGAGTTTGGATTGACAGATATAGAGCAATGAGTTAAAGTAGTCGTACTCTGGATAGCGATAGATCCAAGTTTGGTCGCGGGTAGTGATGAAAGAGAACCGAGGAATCCACCCATTGGTGTTCGGGCAATACCAACGATGCAGACATCTATAATGAGTTAAGATGCATTAATTTTTTTTTTTTTTTTCAAACGATAATATTACTCCAATGAAAAAAAAAGTGTTTACATCCGCATGGCCGACTAGCCATAATACAACCCAGAGAACCACTCCAATATGGTGGCCTAGCATAACACACAAATACGGACAACAGGCATAACCGAGGTTAAGAAAACCTGTGCCCTCATGACAACCTAGAACCTATGCATTAATTAGAGCAAGAAAATGTAGAGGGAGAGAGAGAGAGAGAGATTCACCTCTTGGCTTAATCGAGTCCGCCATAATCGACTTTTGCACAAACTAAGAGCTGCAATATCAAATCCCATAAGAATTCAGAGGTAAAAAAAAAAAACATATAAAGATCCCAAAACAGAGAACACACCATTTTCGCATGATCCTAACCTTTCTCAAAAAATCATTGAGTCTAATCTAATTTAGCCAAAAGGGGTCAATGTCAATGACAACAAAAGCTCATTTTTAGCAGCTAATTATCTGAGTGCATGAAATAGAACATTATTTCCTCTTTCCATCATAAAAAAGGATCACTGACCCAGAAAATTATCAGACCTCAAAAGAACATAGGAATCTCCTAAAAAAGCAGACAAGATGTAAGTAAGTTCATGTGAGAGTATATATGCATCAAATTAACAACCTTTTTTACCAATAGAATATCTGTTCCAATGAAACAAAAACAAGAAAAGAACAAGATATTTAGCAATGGCAAAAAGCTTCAAAGCATGCAAAAGATGAGAAATGGTACCTTGAAGAATGTACAACTGATATTAGGCACAGTATGTTAGTGTGTGTGGGTGTATATATGTAGAAGGGGTACAATTTCGATAGAATTTATGTTAGTAGGCGGCTTTCTTGACTTGATTCGTTTAAGGAAACATTCGTCCACTAATTATACCCGAGTTGCACTTTCGTCGGTTAATTATTTTTTTTTTACTTTTGGTACACTATCATTTTTTTTTGGCAATTTTCGTCCAAATCCAGGTTCCGGTGCTCATTTTTGCCGGAAAAGCTGATGTGGCACCGGAAAAGCTGATGTGGCGCACAATCCGACTAGGCGCCACATCAGCTTTCCGGCAAAAATGAGCACCGGAACCTGGATTTGGACGAAAATTGCCAAAAAAAAATGATAGTGTACCAAAAGTAAAAAAAAATAAAAAATTAAAGGACGAAAGTGCAACTCGGGTATAATTAGTGGACGAATGGTGCAATTTTTCCTTCATTTAATGGATGATTTTACAGTTACAATAAGAAATTTATATTTGAGAAAATTGTCTTTTAAGTTCCAAATAAGCCTTCAAATAAGTCATTCATAACTTATGTCACTTACCTCTCTTATATTAGAATTTTTTTTTTTCTAATTTATATTATATAATAGACTTAATAGAAAAGTTTTGCATTCATATACAACGGGATATTTTATTTCAATTTTTGTCATTTGGAAATTCATTTCAAGATTACTTATATATTAGCAGTAAATTAGTAAGTTGATAATTTTTTATATTCGAGTGCAATCATTAATCGTCACATATTTCTATTTCATTTTGCATAAAATTGTTTTCATTTGCAAGTATATAGATAACCATACATTTTTAAGTAGATAGTTATCATTTTAATAATCAAATATTGTACTCAACAGAAAATACATAATTTTTAGCACTTGTGACATGAGTGTCCCCACTTTTATAAATGTGTATGAAATGTTAATTGATAGTAAATAAAAGGACAATCATGTTATTTTTCCTCATATTCAATAACTAATAAGAATTATAAAAATTTAAGCTGCACTTTACTGTTAAAACTTAAAGAAACTATAAAAGAAAGCACAATAAAACGTGGAAAAGATGACGAGGATAGGGAGCCTTTTATTGACTTAAATTCATAACAACTCTATGAATATAATGGCCTAGCAAACTTTATTTGATAATTTGTGAGTGTTGTGGTTGTTTAAATCCTATTGCCATCAATATTCTTCATAATAAATTTAGCTCAATAGTCTTAAAAGACCAGCTACGTCCAGTATCCTGTAACCCATATAAATTATTAGAGTAATAATTAAGAAATGAATAAATATGTAAATTTCATAATGACACCTTGTGTACCCAAATAATAGAGATACTTTAATAAGATGTTGAACAAAAGAATAGAGATTGGCATTTCCAATTTCTGCAATCCTTTTTGGACTTTTGCCATAAACATGAAGGATTAACACACCTTTTTGTATCATATTTTTTCTTTAAAGAATTGAATATTCAAATTTCTACATATAGTACACAATCATCTAACCTCCATAGTTTTAAATTATTACAGAGGGTAAAACACATATACACCTTATCTTTCTCACATTTATGAAATTTTCTCTCATTTTTCTTTTCCTTTATTCCATTCTGCATAATATAAATGGAATAAGGGAGAAAAAAACCTATACACGCTAAACAGTTTTACAACTTACACAATCATATCATCTTCTCAAATTTATCAATGTTTTTCACCCTCTGCATGGATCTTGCAAATAGAGTGAGGAAAACCCCTGCATTCAAACAGTCCAAAAAATGTCAAAAAAGCAAATAATGAAATCATAAAAATAGGAAAAGCATTCATCAAGCAATGCATGAATATGTATATATTGTGAAGCTCAAACCTGCAGCAACAAAAGAACCATTCCCAATAACTTGATTGCCTTGGTTGCTAAACGTCACGCCAAGATTTAAAAGGGTACCACCAAAAACCGTATAAATGGTTGCCATTTGTAGTATGGTTGCTTTTCGAGCTGCTCTTTCCGACTGCCAAAAATGCAATTTTTTTTATTTTTTTTTTCTGTGTTATTGCCGGTATATAATTCGGTCCTTAATTTGAATATGCTGACAAATCTCTCTATATACTGTGTATTTGGGCATAGATAGAGTAGTTGTAGAAAGTAGATGAAACTAATTGTGTAAAGAAAATCACCTCAAGAACTCGAACACGCAGCTTTAAATCACCGGACTCGAGTTGTTTCATGATGTCTTCTATTCTCTGGACCCGATAAGGCATGGATATAGTTGATGATCTTGCCTGAACAAAAACAACAATAACAATAACAATAATAATTATTAGTAGATGTAACTTTCATAATCGATGCAAAGTGAAAAAAACAAGGGGCAAAAGTACATCGTCAGCTTGTTTTCTTAACGTTTGAACGAGTTGTGTCCCGCTCGGCCGTTGCTGTCTTAAATCTAAGAGTTCCTGCAACATAAATTGACGGATCAGATTGTCTCGTCGGACAAATGTTCATGAGTTTTAAATTTTAGAAGAAAGAATACATATATATAGAACCTGAGCATATGGTGCAGCAATCTTAGGGAATGAAAACTTTGGGTCCAGAGTATAGCCAATGCCTGCAAAGGGACCAAATCTGAGTAAACATTACATGAAATTTTCAATAAATCACGAAACATGAATTTTATTTTTACCAGATTATTTTTTTATTTTCTCACAAAGAGAAAGAGAGGTCACCTTCAAGTGTTGAAAATGCTCTAAGCACGAATGTGAAAGTGGAAGGAAAACGAAATGGCTGATCTGTCGCTATTGCAAATAAATCCTGAAAATACACAAAAAAAAAAGAGAAGATAAGTACGGTTTCGTAATGTTGTTTATCTTGCATACTGGCACGACAATTGGATAGTAGAACGACAAAATATAGCTAAAACCTGGCATGCTCGACATTTAAATAGTTAAATTACGGACCAAATTTGATATGATTAATTAGAAATCACGCTTGAAGATGAAGAAGTTAAAATGTACCTCACCAATTGCAGACAAAGTCTGCTGCTGGTCGGGTCTTTGATTTAGCAAATTATCCAAGAAAAACTGCACTGATCTCCTCACCTGAAATCAGCAATGTGTTGAAAAGGGCCAAATATTAGTATCTGATTGTAGATCTTCATTCCGATCTCTGCTGTCTGACAATAGAAGAAGGAAAAAAAAATAAAAAAAAATTGAAATGCTCATCAAGTTGCACACCGATGTCATGTCCCCTGTGGGCTGAAGTGCTCCAAGATCAATGAGACCTTGCATAACCTGCATCAACACCTTGTACATTACTGCTATCCAAACTGGTTTCGAATGAAGCACACAAGTAAAAAGAAATAAAATTTAGAATGTGGTTTAAGCACTCAAAATATACAGAACGTGTACTTGACTATAGGGTTTACCTCGAACCAGTTTAGAACAAACGGATTTAGACTTTTCGTTTTTTTTTTCTTTTTTTTTTTTNTTTTCACCTAGGTTCTGAAGGTCATGTGATTTAAATCATATAAGATAAACGGACCTTTTTGGCATCTTTCTCATAAACGGCGTAGAAAACCTCTAACAGTCTCTCTCTTGTAAAGCTCTTAATGTCTCCCATCATGCCAAAATCATAGTATATGAGGGCCTCATCAAAATCGATTGCAAGGTTTCCAGGATGAGGATCGGCATGAAAGAAGCCCGTTTTCAATATCTGCAATTATGATAATATTAATGCCGCTAACCTGAATTAAGTAGGAAATGGATGCCCAAAAACCATAAATAAGAATAAAAAATGAATGAAATAGCCAGGTGACTAACCTGAATTAAGTAGGCTTCAATTGCTCGTGATGAAATATTTGAACGATTGTAACCCCGTGCGTCTATCATATCTAACTGATTTATCTTAACACCTGATGAAAATTACAAGTACATAAGCACCATGTTGATCAAAGTTTTTTACCTTTGAAAGGAAAATATGGAATAATATGTCCAATACTTTTTCTCTCAGGAAAGGTATAAGAACTTAAAGAAAAATAGTTAAGAATGATAATACACCTGGTACATACTCGAGCGTCAATACTTTGGTTGCCGTATANATAATAATAATAATAATAATAATAATAATAATAATAATAATAATAATAATAATAATAATAATAATAATAATAATTTCCTCGTTAAATAGAATTCGATACAGTAAACAATAGAAAGCATATTCGGAGAAAGATGAAATTTCAGAGAAAAGTCATCTAACTGAAGATAATCACTTATAAACGAAGTAATTCTAACTGGAAGAGAAAGAAATGTTTCAGTAGGAAACATACAGGTACTCGGACCCACTTTATATTTCGGAAATCACGACGGAATCTATCTGCATTCTTCCCTTCATTCACGTAATCGATTTCCTCATACAATATCCTGAAATTGTAACCAGTCAGTTGATTATTCATATCATACTTGATTATTCATATCCCACTGAGCATGCATTCTGATTATGAATGAAAATTGAATGCTAAATGAGTAAAGGTAGACAGCTAACTAAAAATAATCTATTTGTATAGCTTACTTGGCGCATTCTTCGTATATTCCAATCCAATCCCTTGTTGGCCCCCCTAGAGTTTCACTCCTTTGAAAGTATTCGGCAATCAGCTTTAAATTTTCTGAAAAAATGAGTGTTTACAATACAAGAACCTAAAAGCCATATAAAATTAATTTAAAAAATAACTCAGAGTGGATTTTACTCACTAAGATCGATGTCGAATAACCTCTTTAGCCCCGGTCTTTGGACTTTCACAACTACTTTCTCCCCATTATGCAATATAGCCCGGTGAACCTGAAACAAGTTTTTTTCAAAGAAAAATAAAAACAAACAAATCAGCATAACTTGGAGCATTTGATAACAAATTATTGGCACTGAGCAAATCTGTTAAAACTTTTTTATCGTGCAGGAATCAGAAAGGAGGGGTAATCAGAAAGAAAGATTACTCCTTCTTCATCTTTTAGTTAGGTACTTCTGAAGATGAACCAACCAAATTCAAATGAAAAGCAATAGAGCCATTTAACTTCCTATGCCATTTGAAAAAATTATAATCTTAGAAGAAGGTGATTAATCATGGTAGAAGCAAAAAGTAGTTTCAGAAATTCCAAGTGTTTGCATCAGAAACTAAAATATTGGTAGGCAACATAGAATTTTCGGTGACTTTGCATTAGAGTTTCTAGAAGTAAAATCTTTAAGTTCCAAGAGTTTCTGATTAAATTTATGCAAAATTAGAAGCTCAAGTTATGATTTGAAAACACTACAAATGACTTCTTTCCATGTTTTGAGGCTCAAAATCACATTTTTTTTTTGTCGGGTATCTTACATAAAAAATACAGATAATGTATATGCTTCTAGCAAACATGAATTCAGAAGTTTATACCATAGTTTCAGTAATGAGTTTAACAAAATAAGAAAATAAATAAATAAAGGCAAAACATAAAGCAAACACCTGACCAAGACTAGCAGCAGCAATCGGCAGGTCCTCAAACTCCTTGAACAACAGATGCATAGGAGCACCCAATTCCTTCTCGATAAAGCTCTTTGCTTTGCCCGGCGAAAATGCAGGCACTCTATCCTGAATCACAAGTCATTCGTTTTTTCATTTCAATTCAAGACTCGCAATTCAACCATTCACCATTAAAAAATTCAAAAGTTCTCCACAAGAAATCTTGAGATACCTGCAGTTTAGCCAGCTCATCCACAAACTCTTTGGGAAATAAATCAGATCTTGTCGAAGACAGTTGGCCAAGTTTGATAAAAGTGGGTCCCAGCTGTAACACAGTTTCCCTCAACCACGATGCCGTTTGCCGCCTTCTCTCTCGCTAAAAGTTATACACTCATTAAAAATATAAAACAAAATAAGATCATCCAGGACAAAAAAAAAAAGAAAGATAAAAAATTAGTGAGCAATTACCTGTTTTTCTTCAGAGAAGCTCCCAACGTAGGCCCATTTTCCATTGTCCAAGAGAACACGCACACGAAGTGTAAGAACAAATGACCAAACATCAATAGTCCTCTGAATATTGTTATAATTTTCATTGGCCCAACTAAAGCTTTCATCCGAAGGCAAAACTTTCGGCATGTCTAAAGGAGGAAGCTCGTTAGCTTTAGAAGGAGGCAGGGTAGGATTTCTCTTAATGAGGCTTTTACCATTAACGATACCTATGCCAGCAACATTCTTGGATGATCCATTCACAGTCTTTGGTGCGTTACTACTAGATGACGATTTTATATTTCTTATATCGGTTGTTGGTACCATTTTGCCTGCTCGGCCGTTTATGCCTACTTGGGCCGGCAACTCAGTCTGTTGCACGTTTACCTGGAATTTACGTGATTTTCTAGTTTTGACAAGGCTGTACATTTTTTTGTCTACTTTTGAGGAATTACTGTTTGATATTGTTCCTGAGAAGCTAAGATCATCTCCAATGGAGCAATACCAGCTGGAAGAAGCAAGTATTGCTGCCATTGGGGCCATAAACAAAAACCTGGCAGAAAAAAAGAGCAAAATTGTGTACAAATTTAAACTAATGAGTAAGATAACGAGAGAGCTGGTTACAGAAAAATCTCTTGAACAGGAAGCATAAAGAAGATGCAAAAACAGATCTTTTGACTCAAGTAGGTGTAAATTAGAACCATACAGGCGAATCAACTATTATTTCTAAGAAATGTTCACTCAAGTATAACACGTAAAAATCGAATTCAGTATTTAGGCGATTCGCGTGGAAAAGTTTATTTCGTTAAGATGATGCAAGGTAATCAACAAATATTGAAACAAAACATCACTAATTCATCAAACAGAATAAAATAAGGCACAGCTTAGAAGTGACAGCAAACAGCACTTGTGAAAATACATGGCATGTAAATGGAATTCATCAGACAGCCACAAACTGTCAAACATCGGCAGTGCCACATTAAAGTCACGATTTTTATGCTCAAGAGTAAGACTGAAAGAAAATAACCAACCTTTTTGGGGAAAAATTTAAGAAAGGGCACAAACCTTAAAAACAGAACCTTTTTCCTTTGCAACTGGGTGTTTTATCTTGAACCTCAACAGAAGGTTTGGTGAAGAAGAGAAAAAGAGTCTGCCACTTTCTTGAATTTTACACCATGGTTAGCACAAAAACAGGAAAAAGAAAAAGAAAATTGTAGATATTATTGTGAAATGAAAACGAGCAACAGAGCAGCCACTCAACCACCACCACCACTAGTGTGATGTGGGATTTCAATCTAAGTCCTATTTTCAAGTTTAGTACGTGTGGTTTTCTTCTCCTCACATATACTTTTTCATAGTTAAAAATAAAATAAAAAATAAAAAAATCTACTATTTTGTTGTGTTCTTCTCCTCGAATAAAAATTATTTAATCTATACTTATATTAAAAGAAGTCATATTTACCAAATTTAGTAGCTAGAAAAGTCAACGACATTTATTGTCATTACTATTTCCGTATTATACAGTTTTTATTTAATATTTATTTTTCTGTTACGATTTTTAAATACAGATATGGTCAAATTTTCTCATCATTAATTACTTTCCATTAATTACAATTTATTTATTTATTATTTTCTTAGCAAAAACGGATCAACATTAATTGATTTCCTTAAAATGTGAAAGTTGTTGCTTTATTTTTGTACAGAAAATCTGGCTTCATTATAGAAATTGGTTCAATTACACAATGAATTTTCTATGATATAATTATTTTTTATGGGAACTTTTTTTTTTAATAGAAAAATATGGCATTTCAATAAGATTTTCGATTTTTTAAAACTGATCGTTATCATGCTATGAAATTGAACATTCCAATATACCTTAACAAAATATACACGTGGTGTATACATCAGTTAATAGAAATATAGAATCCTCATATTTTTATATATATGTATGTAATTTTTCTATTACCAAATTTAATTGATAGTTGTTGTGTTATGGGTTTTTTCATAATTGTTACTTGGTTGTTGTGATATTTAGTTTGGTTGGTGTCGCAAAAATTCTAATCTATATACATAAGAAGAATAATCATTACAATGCAAATTAGAAAAATATTGATATTAGAAGAGATTGAGTTCATGACTTTTCTTAAATCAAAGTTGTTTAATTAGTATACAAAATTAAATTTTACAAAAATATATGTGTATATTTTGTACATTATTTATACACTATTTAATTTTAAATTGATTTACATATTTTAAATTGATTACTTATAAATAATACCAACGTGCATTAAATATATTTCATTACATAAAATAAAAAGAACAAGAAGACGTGTAACTTGTATAACTTTATAAATAATAATGACATTATATGGCAACAGAGTTTAATAATTAACTATTATATAGTGAATAAGAATAAGTAAAATTGTTATTTTCTCTTATATCAAGGAATAAATATATATAATAAAATTAAACTAGTACGTAATCCCGTGCGATGCACGGGCTGTATTTGTTTTGGTAAAATTTATAATTAAAGGCTATTAATCAATAAATTATAATACGTAGAGCATTTGTCAGGTAATCATAAAATGTTAATCATGACAAAGTCATATAATATTAAAATCCTTGTTTTTTCATGCAAAATTATTTTGCGATATTTACCAAGATGCTTTCCACTTGGTAATTGCGAATTGCATAGATACCTCATTTCTCTAATTATTTGTTGATTTCGGATTGTTAACACCACAAAATAAAATTATAGTGAAAATATGTATGTGATAAATACTACCGATATGATTTATTGGATGAAGTTTAATTTTTGTTAGAGTATCAAAAAAGTTGTTACCATAAAGTGTAGATTTTGAGTATATTTTTTTTTATAATGATTTAACCTTATTCTTATTTTATATAGATTTTAATAAATCATCCACGCATTTCATATCCACAAATTGAATTTTACAAATGTTTTTATGTATAAATTAAAACTTTCCATGTATGCTGCTTCTAGAGAAATGAACACAATCAAACTCGGGTTATTTATCCTAAAAACTCATTTTTCTTATGATTTAACTGCATATTTGACATTGTGCATCCTAGATAATTATGAGAAGAAGATTATTAGTGATAACAGAAAATATTTGGGTATAAATCAAAACCAATAATTAATTTTTGGTAAATCAGGAACGTTATATTATTATATTATTATATTAAATTATTTGGTATACCTATTTTTTTTCGACAGATTAATAGTATTATATTATTAAATTATTTGATTCCATAAATATAGGGTTTATAAGGATACTGCTATGTCAAATTAATAGGCATTTGACACATAAATATGGATCTTACGGGAATTTTAAATTGATTACACTCTTTGTTTTGGCAAAATTATATTATTATAATACTATATTATTTGATTCCTTAAAAATCGGGAAATACTTCCATAAACTATCAAATCAGTTGATTCCATAAACTGATCACAATTAATGTTCTGATATTCGTTGTCCCGAATTATCTAAAAATATTATATTTAGCAGGTAATTAATGCAAAATGGCGGAAAGATATTACTGTAATTGATTTAAGTCTACTAGTGTGTAGCCCGTGCGATGCACGAGTAAATAATATTAAATACTAATTATAAATTAAAGATGATAGAAAACAATATTAACTCATAATTATAAATTAAATATGAGGGTAAACAATATTAATTAATAATTGTAATTAAAATGTGGAGTTCATATGTGACATAATTTATCGTATATCAGATGTAAACAATATAAAATTATCTTGTGTAAAATAACATAAAAAATGTATGTTTAATATATTAAAAACACCTAAAATATTATATAACGTACGTAAAGTATCTAAAATTTTATATATCCTTATTGAAAGATGTGAAGTCACCTAAAATCTTTCTAAACTATTTTATAAATAAAACATGTTAAAATTATTTAAAAAAATCTTGCCTAAAATATATTATTCAATTTCCAAAAGATAATGATAAGTATAAGTTTGAATTTTAGAATCCACGTGAGTATTAATTTTTAGATCCGTGTACTATACAAATTATTCATTACGTTAATTTCTTCTGAACTTCACGTTGATTTATTGATTCTATTTTATTTCCATACAAAGTTGATCGTCTAATTTTGTTTACCATATTTTCGTGGATATTTAACAAAGTCGATTGCATTTATAAAATGATTTGGATATCAACATACAATTTATAATGGTGTTTTCAAAATTGTGTATTATTAACAAATAATATATTATCATTAAATATATTTTTTTAAATGCACAATTATTGAGACTGAGAATTTGAAAATTATTTTACCTTTTGAAACCGAGTATAAAAAAATAATAGATTGGTAAAAAAAATAATAATAAACATTACCAAGTTTATTATCACACGTTCCAAATAAAAAAATTGTGATGATTAGTGGAAAATGATATGTAAAGAATAGCATTCAATATCTTTTTTTTGAAAGGCATAAATTTAAAGACCAATATTCTAAAATTTTATTACCTTTTGAGTTGAGATTTTATAAATATAGAGACTTAGATTTTAATATTACTCGGTGTTTCTATGAAAAAAATAAAAATAAAAAATGCACACTTAATAGATCTTAGCTGAAATTTTTAAATAATAAAATGAATTAAACCCAAAATTAATGCAACATTTAATGTTAGTATGATTTTTTAAAGATAAAAATATAAAATAAAAAAGACTTACTATTTATAGGTTGCATTAAATTCTCTCCTATTTTTTTGCTACTATTTTTGTTAGATGGTAATTCTTATTATATATATATATATATAGATTTATATTAGTATAAATGTGTTAGTGAGATAATATATTAATTATTTTACAAGTTAGTCCTAACATGCTCACGTTTAATGTTCTGACTAATAAAACAACGCTGATTAAAAGATGTAAAAAATAGATTACAACCCTATTTTATTATATTTAACGGTGATTAAAAGAGGTGGAAAATAGATGATAACTCTTTTCAGACTTAAACGAGACTTAACGGTGATTAAAATAGGTGAAAAATGGATAATAACCCTTCTCAGACTTAAACGAACAGAGCCTGTGAAAATAGGTCATTTAATATCTCTCTCCCGTGCATCGCACGGGGTACGTACTAGTTTTGGAATATATACGCAGACCTACTTTCATTTTTTTTTTTTATTTGAATCAAATTGTAATTTTCACATTTATATATAATATATTTACATATGCTATTTAAGGTGATGTGAATATTGAATATTCACAACCACACACAACAGAAAACGAGTTTACATACCAATACTTTTTCAATTTTAATTTTAATATACAATATTTTTGTGAAGGTTATGTGCTTTTTTCGGATAATTTTATTTCTAGTCTATATATATATAATAAGAATTAACATTTATTATAAATAGTAAGCAAAAAATATCTGTCAATATTTAATGTAATCTAAAAATAGTAACTTTTTACTTTTTTTTTAAATCGAGAAGCATTAATAAATCTACCTATGATTTAGTTAATTTTAGTATTTAAATCTCGGATAACACCAACTTTCCACATTTCTATGCTTTGACCGTGCTTATCTCCAAAATCTCTCATCCTCATCTCACCCAAAAAAATCATCTCCCTCATGTCTCACCAAAAACAAAAAAAAAAATACAAATTTCTGAAAGCCAAAAATCCCTAGCAACGACGGCAAGGTTCCGGATGACGGTCGGCCGATGACAGTGGAAAGAGCAGCTGCGATGGCGAAAAGGCGACGAGATCTGCGAGATACATTTCGGTGAATAGATCTCATATTTTATACTTCCTGATCTACAATTTTTTTTCATCCTTCTCATTGTTTTGCTTCAAGATTTGGTTTACAGACATCAATCCATTCTATTTCTTCATAATTCCAAGAGACTCATTGGGAGCGTGAAGGCTAAGGAATCATGAATTCGAGCTATGGATCCGAGGGCCCCACCATTTGACGCCCTAAAAATTTCACCTTTTTTTGCTCCTTTTTTTATTTCAGAAATTGTGCCCGATGCGACTTTTGGCAAGGCTTATATATAAAGGAGTGAGTAGGATCTGTGATTTTTTTCCAAATTTTGTATTGGGAGATTTATGGTGTTCTTGTGATTTTTCAGGTGTTAGTGAGTGTTCTGAGGTTTTTTAAAGTTTTAATCTTGGCTGCCATGAGCGTTGTGTGTAGAATTTCTGCCTTTTTTTTAGCATTTATGCTTACATCTCGAGCTTGGTCGATTTCTTGTGGGTGTTACAGTGCTTTTTTGAATTTTCCTCTGTTTGATCCTGTTGCAGCCAATGCATTCTTTGCCGAAAATTTTCCCGAATTTCTTGCATGCATCTGGTGGTGGCCCCCAATAGGGAGGAGGAGGCGGCGACCATGGCCGGGGAACTCCTCTCCTGCATCTACATCGGCATCTGCATCGCCTTCTTCATCTTCCTCATAAGCCCAACAAGCCGTCCTGGACCCATCAACATGCAGCCCCGATCCATCGACCGGGCTGGGATCCTTATCTGGAGTAGCGTACTAAAACTGATGAAAAATGTAACATAATGGACTATTTTTTATGAGGAGAAAGATAGTGTACCAAAAGTGGACAATGGACAAATTAGCGGAGCAAAATTAGATTTTTGCTTTGATATCTCAAAGATAATTATCTAAAGATAAATAGAGAATTCTGATTTTGTTACTGATTTTCAAATATCATGTTAAATATATCAGCGATAATCATCAAAAAAAATAAAAAAATTTTGGAATCCTAATACGTGTATATGGATGCATTTTTTTCATATCAATCTATTATTAAAACGTGTGATTTAAATATGTTGATACACAATATTTTTATGCGTTGATATAGATGGGTCTTTTTTTATATCAATCCATTTTAGAAAATGTGTAAATGAAATATGTTGATACATAATATTTTTTTATTGAATTTCATTTTCAGGAATCCTAAAGCGAGTTAATATCATTATATTTCATATAATTTATTTATTTTTTTCTCAAATTCTTCTGAATACATCTACATTAAAAATTGAGCATTTGAGCTATACAATAATCAGATTTACAATATAAATCAAAACTTGCAATAATTTGTTATCTAATCTATATGGCACATCTACCATTATAAAAAATACAATTCAAAGTATCGTGTAATTTGATTAATATGATATAAAATAGCATAACCATGTGATTAAAATATGGACATCTAAATAAACGGGATACATCAATCTAATAAAATCCAATCCAAAAATATCTTCTCATTCTTCATCATACATCCACGTGAAAAAGAACTGCCTAAACTAATTTCCTATTCAACCGCACAAAATTTTATATCTTCTTTATTAAATCTATAATTTAAATAAAATTACCTACACACACTAATTAAATCGGATTATGATATAATAGTTCAAACTTGCACTAATTTGTTACCTATTCTATAGGATACACCAACCTAATAAACAATCGAAATATTTTTAACTTCAAAATAATATATATTATAGTTTTTTTCAATTAAGTGTTGGTTATAATATTTGTCAATATTTTTCAACTTTAGCTTAACTTATTTATAAATTGAAATAATATTTTGTAACAAGTATGAACAAGAGAAATTAGAGGTGAGTACTATTTATTTACAATATTTGAATATGTTAAATTTTCATTATCCTTAATTATAAACATAATCTTAACTGATAATTATTTTATAACGAGTGAAATAAGAATATAAATCATATATTACATTATTATAAATCATAAAATAAAATAAAAAATAATTATTAATACTCCTAACTATTTGTATACTAATCAATATCCCTTTATTGTTTTAATATATGAAATTTATACTTATTGTCCCGTGATTTGCACGGTCTACGCACTAGTTCTATTGAAATAATATTCATGCATCTTGAATATCCAGCAAGTCATTTTTTTCTTTTTTTTGACAAGTTAACCTATGGTGGATGATATTATACTATTATCTTGTATTTAATAATAAATAAATAGATGATGGTCCAGTTTCAAACTATAAAATAAAACTAACATGTATCAATTAATTTAATCGAATAATATCAAAATCAATATAAAAGTAATTTCATGGATAAAATTAAATTGTAATGTCAAAATCATTGATTTATTATTATTTAGATGTTTCCTCCAGTAACTATGCTAGCTACATTATTAATTATTATATTAATTGAAAAATCCGTGGGCACATAAGAACCGGTCCGGTATACACCAGGTCAGGTTCACAATATTAAAATTAAAATTGATGGTTTGGCCCGTTGGCATTCGAGAATTTCAACTCTATTTGATCTGATTCTGAACAAGGTTAGTTAGGTTACACACTCGCAGTCACAGGGCTTGTTTGTAATCGCACTACTGATATTCTATCGCTTCCAGAGATCGGCAGGTTTTCACTCGATCATGGTTCTTGCAAGAGGAAAATGGCTGAAGGTTGGCGATTGTTAGTCGAGAAAAAAGACTCAATATTTCTGTATATCTTGCTGTTATTTGTTCAGTTTATTTGGTCATTTTGAGTTTACGAAGAATTGTCTTGTGGTGGGGTTTTCTTCTTTGAGTTGGTAACTGCTTGATTTTGAGTGTACACAGTCAAAAAGCTGAGATCTTTGCATGAAGGCAAACAATCATGACACTGGTTCATGTTTGCTGATAGGAAACTCGATCAAGAACCCTTGTTCATGTTCTTGCCTGTATTTGATTTTTTGGCCTATTTTAATTAGAAATTAGTGATTCAAGGTAGAGTAATAGGTTCTCAGTCTGCTTCGTGATACTTGACCAGCAAATCCTAAATCTGTTTGTTGACTGCGAAAGCTATGTTTTTTTCGATGATATGATGCTGATTTTCAACAGTCAATATAGCTTCTGTTTGCAAAAATATTTTTTTTTTTTGCTTGAGTTCCCCCTGTAACTGTCCTTACAGTCTCCATCGAAGTTGAAACCTTTTCTACAAACTATTCTCCTTTTGCAGCTGGAGCAGAGAGGCGAGGGCCCCGGGGCAAGAAGCTCGCACGCCATCACAGTGGTGGGGCAGAAGGCCTACTCGTTCGGCGGCGAGTTTGCGCCACGTGTCCCTGTCGACAACCATCTCCACGTGTTTGACCTTGTTGACCTGACATGGTCCGTGGCCAATGCACACGGCCAAATTCCTCCGCCACGTGTCGGCGTGTCCATGTCCTCCATCGGGGAGACCATTTATGTGTTCGGAGGAAGAGACGAGGCCCACAAGGAGCTGAACGAGTTGTACTCGTTGGACACGCGTACCAACACGTGGGCCCTGCTTCCCCCGGGCCCGGCCCACCGGAGCTACCACTCGATGGCGGCCGACGAGCGGAGAGTGTACATCTTTGGAGGTTGTGGCGATTCGGGAAGACTGAACGACCTGTGGGCTTTTGATGTAGTTGATAAGGAATGGGTGCAGTTTCCAGTGCCGGGGGAGAGTGTTAAGCCGAGGGGCGGGCCCGGGCTAGCGTCTGTGCTCGGGAAAATATGGGTCGTGTATGGTTTTGCAGGGATGGAGGTTGATGACGTGCATTATTTCGATCTGAAAGAAGGAAAATGGGTTCAAGTGGAGACGGATGGAGAAAAACCGAGCCCGAGAAGCGTGTTTTCGACTCTTGGGATCGGTAAATATATATTTGTGTATGGTGGGGAGATTGATCCGAGCGATTTGGGCCATATGGGGGCTGGGAAATTTGCGGGGGATGTTTATGCGCTTGACACTGAGACGCTTGTGTGGAAAAAATGGGACGATGGGCTGGGCTGTAAGGACCATCCAGGCCCGAGGGGATGGTGTGCGTTTAGCAGCGGGCAAATTGACGGGCAAGAGGGACTGTTGGTGTATGGTGGGAATTCGCCTAGTAATGATCGACTCAATGACATTTTCTTCTTCACCCCTTTCGAGTGATGCTATGTGGAAAGTTGTGTTTGGTGATGAGATTTGGGAGATGCTTGTGTGATGTTTTTTTTTTCTTGGTCTGGTTTGGGTTCTTTTTGTTCTGGTTAAGTGATGTGTGGAATGGTGAATGAGGATGCTTTATTGTTCAGTGGCTTCATGGTGCAGTAAATACTAAATAGAAAGGAGATGGTGTTTGAGTTTTTATTTTTTATTTTTTCCTTGTTTTTGATTAGCTTTGAGTGGCTTATTATGCTGCTAATAATTCCAATATGCAAGCTTCAACTTGCCTGGGATGCAGGGGACTTTGTTAGAAATTACACAAAGCTCATTGTGTTGAAACAAACGCAGACTCTATCACAAAACATTAAGTCTAACAAAATGATACAAATTTCTGAGCCTGTGATTGGGAAAATTGATTATAAATTGAAGGAAATGTATAGAAAATTGATTTCTTGATGTCAACAGAAAAAATTACAAAACTCTACTTCAGTTGGACATGAACTAGAAATACCGCAAACCTTAACACGTCCTACACGTTGCTCATCACTCTGGATGTGGAACTTTAGATTCACAACAAAATCAAGATTCAGCATTCTCTTCAATACCCTCTCGGGCTCAATTAAAACCACACTAGAGAAAATAAAAAGAAAAAGGAAGCACAAAACTATCACAAGAAGCTAAAACTGGAGTCCTCTCAATATAAGAATCTTATGAGAGCTCGACAATCTTGGGTCGCTTTTTCGGTTTCTCTTTTCTCAATGGCTTAGAAGAACAATCTATTTCAGCATCTTTTGAACATGAACTGTCTTCAAAATCTTGTGTACTGATCTTGTTCTCCCTTTTGTCGTCATCATCATCATCATCATCACCACCACTGCTATCTTCACTGTTTGGTAAAGGAATCAATGGTGCACGGCCAGCCATTGCAGATTCTGCAGCAGCTACAGCCTCTGGGGTATGAAGATCAGCAACTCCCAGCATCAGATCCTGTGACCAAAAGTAATAAGATGCATCATTAAATTAACTGATGATATTATGCAAATATCCTTAGCTNTTGCACCAACGATCGGGATATATTTGTCAAGAAAAAATGCAAATGCAAGGGGGTTGTTTCATTTTGTAATATCTTGAAAGTTAATTGAGTTTTTCCTTTTCTTTTATTATTTTTTTGCAATTTTTAGTTTTGTGCTTACTCAACTGTTGAAACTAGAAAGTAACTCTTTAGGAGATTGGGAAGGAAGACAATTACCATTTCAATGTATTCCGATTCTTTCCCGTTGAGCATTTCAATATCATAATTCTCGGGATTATCCTGTGATGTAAAGAACCATCAGGTCTAAAGTTCAAGAAATTACAATAGTCAGATACGAAAAGCTTCGATCAACATAAGTATTTATTTTGTACCTTTGCGTCGTGCATCAGCTTTTTGTTCGATTCAGATAAGACACTGAGAAAGTCCTGGACTTTTCCTAGAACTGTGAGCAACAAAATAGAACCTTTCAGTACTTAACTAATTGGAATTACCACATAGCTTTTCATGTATGAAAAAAGAGGACATCACACTATACACATTATGCATGACAAATACAATAACAGGTATAAATCATAATCAACAACCAAACTCAAAGTGGGTATTCATAAAACCAATGAATGGAATCCCCCCATACCTCCCTATACTAACAATAACTACTTTGAAAACATAATTCAATTCAAAGACAACCCTTTACCACATTTTAATTGACTGTTATTGTTAGGTTGGCACTTTTACAAAATCTTCATTTCCTGACGATTAAGATGAATAAGAATGATAACATCACAAAAACCAAGCACGTCAATGAGAACTATACCAAATGGCTTTTCATATTTTATGATGTTAACCATTTGTTTCCATTTCTCATTTTGCTTAAGGTGAGGTTTTCTTTGTCTTTATGACTTCTGCATATTAGGTTACTAAAGCATAGAGTTAGTTAAATAAATTATAAGGAAATTGTTCATAAAGAAGAAATCTTAAATGCAACTGTATAATGCTCACTATTGAATAGGTCCAGTTATGTATATTATAGAAAAATTGTTCGCAAAGAAGGAATCGGAAATATAACTGGATAATGCTCCTCTCTCTTAAAGTCGCAGTCAAGGGAACATACAAGTATACAACAATTATCATCTAGCTCAACAAGAAACCTAAATTAGCTACACCCTTTCCGCTATTTCAAATTGTCTACATTCAGTAAAGTTGGAGCTCGACTAAAAATTATGCTCGTCAGCACAAACATAAATGAACACAGCCTTGAGTTAGGAATGCTAAAATCCCATAGCAAAAGAAAGATGAACTAAGCTCCCTTTGCCCTGTGGTCAAATACCAAGCTACAGACTCATATCCAAGAATCCTATCTATCAGCAACTATAAATCTAGAACAACTGGAGAATTAAGAATAATTATAAGCAGAATGAAACTTAGCTACATGGTGGCCATCAACTAAAATGGCCATCAACTAAAATCCTTAAAATTTGAATTCGTCAGCACAGTTTATATCAAGTCCAAAGAGTTGGTGAGTGAGGGGTACCTTGACTCTTGGGAACAGGAAACATTGTGGGCTTATGAAGAGGAGCTTCAGACGGAGAAAAGGAGCTGTCTTTCTTGCAAACAAAGAGTTTTGACTCTACAAAATTAAAAAAAACTGTCTTCTTTAACTATACATTCAAAGAAAGATACAAAAGGAAAAGGGACTAACTTTCTTATACAAAGAGCTCAAGGATCATACCTAAACATGAGGTGGAGGATACGGCGGAAGTCTTGGCCTCCAATTTCAAGAGGTCTTTGCTGTATTCCTCCATTGTTGCTCTGTGTGGAGGCTTGCGCGAGCTTGAATGGGGCGTTCAATATCTATCGCGGCCTGCTGTGTTGGGCCCGTTCTGTTTTATATCCGGAAAAGCGTTCCCAAAAGTTTTATTCGTGAAACAGTGAAGAGAAGCGAGGGTAGATACGTCCTTCCACATAACACAGCCCTAATAAATAAGGTCGCTAGGGTTTGTGCGAGTTCCATCTCCATTTTTTCACTCCGCGCGCAGCTCTCTGTAAAGCTAGGATTCTCTCCAGCTCTTGAGATCTGCTATTACTCGCAGTTAGTATTCTTATTTCTTCTTATTGGGTAATTGTATTATTTAAGTTTTTACATTATGCGAATTTTACGTTCATGATAAGTTATAGCTGGATTTATGCTCGGTTTCTTGTTTTGTATTTCTATTTGGTGGGGCCGTGGGTACCCTTGAGCTTGTAGCTGTTTAGTGTATATGAAATGTAATCATTGAGAAAGGAAAATATGTAGAAAATGCGGTAATTTGTTGAGAGTTGATACCATAATATTTTGTGACAAATTTTGTTTGTGTGTACTAGTTGGGTTTCTGATTCGCCCTTTTTGTTTGGGTTTGGCTATTTTATGTTCTTGATAATTGAATTTTTGAAAAGATTTTTTTTTTTTCTATTTGATCGCATTATAGCTTCCTCGTTGCTGAATATTAGTGAATAAAAACACATGTAATCCATCACTAACACAGTTGATGATCATTCTATTATGTCTGGAGTTTATTATTCTGTTTAGTTAACATCTACTAGATATTAATAGCAGTTTATATAATCAAGGTGATGTCACCGGAGACAGGTTATTATCTGCCTGGATATGATCATAAATCCCATCTTACTGATAACATTCACTAGCCTTTTAACCTGTTTCCATCATTCATTTATATTTGGAACAAAAAAACTTCAATACATTGTTTAAAGCTTTTGGATGAGTGTTTTATTTACCTGCCTGCTTGATTTTATCATCTTGTTCTTGTTTATTTTGCCTATTTATTTATTTTCACTGGATATAGTCTCTACCTTTGCAGAATGGATTCTCAAATCAAGGTTGCCATTGTGGTCAAGGTTATAGGGCGAACAGGGTCAAGGGGGCAAGTGACCCAGGTGAGAGTCAAGTTTATGGATGACTCAAATCGGTTTATCATGCGGAACGTGAAGGGGCCGGTCAGGGAAGGTGATATTCTCACCCTGATGGAATCCGAAAGGGAAGCCAGGAGGCTCCGGTGAACTTGCCTGGCTGGTTTTCTTTAATGTGTTCTGAGTTTTTAGATGGATTAATGTCCTGTTAGTTAACTTCATTAGCCTTTTGTCTGGCTGTGTTTAAGACTGGAGTGAATGGTTGTCGAATATTTTTTTTTGTTGTGTTGAGCTTTGTGTTTGTGGTGGCCGTGTAGTGGTTTGCAGTTATGTATGGGTGCGGTCATTGACTTTTTAGTATTTGAAATGTGATTGAAATATTCTGCAGAGTTTGTGGTGTTAATTTTATATTTTCCGATGATGCTAAGATTCGAGCTTTATTCTAGAGTTTATTTATGTTTTCGGGGTATTACCATGTTACCTCGGCTCTGGCTTCATTGCCATGTGAGCCTTCATGTGGGTCGAGAAAGGTTTTGGTGGGCTTTACACCGTATACCTCCAAGTAGATGGTATTCCATATTTATATTGTGCAGGGTTGTGAGTGTTTTCTGCTTGTCTATTCATAAATTTGGTTCAGTTGTGGTTTTAGGTTGTCAAAGGAGGAGAAATTTTACATGTTGCATGAAAATTACATTTGAATTTGTGGCAAGAAGACAAGGCAGGTGTAAGCAGGCTATTTTTGCTTGATAGGTGCGAAAGTGAAACTGGGCTTGGTAATATTTATGATTGCCTGGTTTTTGCTTCTGCCCCGTGGGTGATTTATTGTGCCTTTTCAAAACCAATTTATTGTTCAATTATATAGCATTCAAGCTTTTACAAAAGAATAAGTTAAAGATAAATACCGCTGCCTCTCAAGATCCTTCACATTGGCTACCCTCATTTGAAACAAATCGCTTTTTACACGAGGAAAATTAGTTGTTTGTACTTGGTAAAAGTTTTATCCCTTGTAAAGTCATCAACAAAGTATATGATTGGATGAGTCATGCGTGGTTTTGTAGGCCACAGATTTTAGTGCTAAATGCAGGTGAACCAAAGCCCAACATCGCTCTGTTCAAGATTAGATAAATAAAGGAGAATAAATATTGACCTCATATAAAGGATGAGGCATTACGAGGGCTCACACTTTAGTGGTACCTAAAATAGTCAGTCCACTTGCAAATTTATGTTTACAATCAAAATTTGGAGTTTATATCCAATGAATATCTGAGGTGGTCCTTTCTGATCATCTTCTTGGATAAACTCTGGAAATTGTCCAATTTCCATCTGACAAAAAGATCAAGAAAATCGCACAGTAGGCAATTTCTGAGTCTCCACTGTTCAAGTGCATGGCTAGGTGTTTGAGTACTTCTTGTTCTCATTCATATTCAACCCCATTTAGCTGTTTCCATAATGAGCGTTTGTGTTGCTCGAAAAAGCTAGCAACTTTAACAAGCTCACATGATTTCTCAAAGTGGGTTCCCAAGATTTTTGGGAGGACTCAAATGAAAAGTCAGTTTGAGCTGAGATCCTCCAATGGACACCCTCTTAATGCTGTATCCTTGCAAGATGGTATGCTAAATTTCTCTTCTTCTTTTTTTTGCTGTCAGTTCTTTGTTCATATTAATGAATTTGAACTGTGTTGCTGTTTGATAATTTTTCCTGCCGTTTGAAAAGATGATCTAGGTTTAGTGGATTTTATTGTTTCTTTGGGTGTATTGATAAAAATGTGAACTTTGTAAGTTGCAGTTTTCGTATGAATAAGGATCATTCGTTTTTAGTTTGAACTCATTGGAAAAGTTTCTTTCCATTTTTTTTTTAGTTAATGATGCATGCAAGTTGCAACATTATGTGTTAGGTATTCCAATTTTTCGTTTCTGATAAAATCTAAAGTATCAAAATGAGTCTTAGACCTAACTTAAACAAGGCATGAACACTCAGTACTATGATTTGGTAACAGTCTAGATTTCTTTTTCTTTGTCTTTTTGCTAAAATGGATTATCTGAAAGTTTTTTTTTTTTCTCCTATTCCCCGTCCTGTTGTCAACTCTGAATTATTTTTAGGAGCTACAAATTTGTAAAATATCTGATCGGATCCAAACTAAATTTCTTTCTGTTGGTGAAAATGCAGAAGGTTCAGCTGCAAATCCTCAAGCAGACGAAATGCATTTGTCTGAATTGGGACATGAGGATTCAACCCTTAGCATTACTGTTGTTGGTGCTTCGGGTGATCTTGCAAAGAAGAAGATTTTTCCCGCCCTTTTTGCTCTTTACTATGAAGATTGGCTGCCTGAGGTTCGCCTTTGTTTCCATCCATGTTTCTAGTTTAAGTGACTCATTGTGTGCGTATCGAAGTTAGGAATGATTAAGTTTTGAAAATGTTTATTAGTTCTTAAAAGTGAAACCAGCAGAGATTGCAAGGATCCTGAAGCACCTAAAGTTTTTAGATTCAGATTAAAGTTTGTAGAATTATGCGGAAAAGTAGTTGTTTGCAATGATAAGTACAATTACTTTACATTTTTTTTTTTTTTTTTTTTTGNTTATTTGTTCTTTTGGGAGCCAAGACAGTGATTGCTATTACTCCTAAGATTTTCACATTTTCAATTTAAACAATGCTGCTGAATTCTCTTTATACCATATATTTTCAGAACTTTGTGGTTTTTGGTTATTCTCGGACAAAAATGAATGATGAGGAGTTACGTAACATGATCAGTAGAACTTTAACTTGCAGAATTGATCAGAGGTAACCCATCATTTCTAAACTTTTTACTTCAAAGTAATTCAATCCAAGTACCTGGCATTTTGCAGTCTAACTGTTTTAAATGGTGGTTTTCCAGGGAAAACTGTGACGAGAAAATGACACAGTTTCTAAAGAGATGCTTTTACCATTCGGGTCAATATGATTCCGAGCAGCATTTTTTGGAATTAAACAGCAAGCTGAAAGAAAAAGAGGTAGCTAGTAACCAAACCTCATATTGATAAGACCTTTTAGATAATAATAGTAATAATAATAATAATAAAAAAAAAATATATCAAAGCATAGTAAACCCATCCTCAAGATTATTCTTTTTTCAGGGTGGTAGACGATCAAATAGGTTATTTTATTTATCCATACCTCCGAATATTTTCGTGGATGTTGTGAGATGTGCCAGCTCAAAAGCTTCTTCAGAAAATGGGTGGACGAGGGTCATTGTCGAAAAACCATTTGGCCGAGACTCTGAGTCGTCTAACGAACTCACTAGGTGTCTAAAGCAGTATCTGAATGAGGACCAAATATTCCGGTAAATGATACTCTCAGTGTCTGTCTTGTTTTTAAGACAAAAAAGAAAAACAGAGAGACATTTGAATTTGAAAGAGAAGTTGATTGATTTTAGGTTTGTTGCAGAATTGATCATTATTTGGGGAAGGAGTTGGTCGAGAATCTTTCAGTTCTTCGTTTTTCGAATCTCGTGTTCGAGCCTCTTTGGTCGAGGAATTACATTCGTAATGTGCAGTTTATATTTTCCGAAGATTTCGGTACGGAAGGACGAGGAGGGTGAGTGAGCTCATAAGCCCATCCTAATAATTTTTTATCGAAATTCTCTTCAGGTTCTTGAATATTTTTATATACTTTCCTATTCTATTCCTTGCTAGGTACTTTGACCATTATGGGATCATTAGGGATATTATGCAAAATCATCTGCTGCAAATATTGGCGTTATTTGCAATGGAGACCCCTGTCAGCTTGGATGCTGAAGATATTAGGAATGAGAAGGTATATTTTATTTAGAATGAAGTAACTCTTTCTTTTGATTCATGTACTCCCTGAACTATATGATTTTTGAATTCATATACTGAACAAGTCAGAAAAGCAATTCGGAACAAAGTGGAAAAATTAGATAAAAAAGAGGTTCAAGGACTAAAGTGCAGAAAAAATAATCACCGAGCAAAATGCAAATAAGCCCAATATAGTTTAGAGGATTTTAGTGCAGTTTACTCTTCTGCTTTGTTTGAAGGTGATCGCACGTCGCAACGCGACAAAATTAAAATTTATATTTTTCCTTAACCAACCTCTACTAACTAGTAGTAGTGGCGAGTAAGAGTCGATCCCACGAGGAATGTGAATCAAATCGTGATTTTTCTCGTATTAATTGAATTATAAAACCAATAAAAGAGGGGGACTTTTGAATTAATAACTAAACTAATTAAAATCCTAATGAAACAAATAAAATCTAAACTAGAAAATAAAAATAAAAATAAATAAATGAAGAGAACTTTCTAGTTCACGATTCCGTCTACACCCTCGACCGACTCGTCTAATCAACTTTGGTATCAAATCTCGCTATCTTATAGAATTACTAGCCCTAGGTAACGACACGGTCTGTTACCCGAATTTTTCCTTATTTTTAATTTAACCGCGAGACGCTCTATGATTAAACCTGACTTCTTATACAGTCCAGAAAAACGTTTTCAAGAGAATTAGAAAAATAGGCTAGACTAAGTAGTGAACTCAACCGCGTTCGCTCACTTAAATAGACTGTGTTATTCCCGGTAGTTACCATCTTCCGGTTATCTCTTATGAATTAAAGACAACAACAATTATGGATTGCAGGTCAAACTCTGATGTAGATATGAAAAGCCTGATCTAGGTGATCAATCTAAACAAGACTAACACATCATGGTGAATCATTCAAAATAACACAAGCAATTCCAAAAAGATATTAAAATTATCAACCATGAAAATCAATCAAACATCGTCAAGTCGTAGGGTTCAACTTCCCCGGAACTAGAAATAAAATCTAAGCTATCATACTAATATAAATAAAAGAAAGAGAATAAGAATATCCCCTTTCGTGTGCGGGTGCGGCTTCTCTCCGCAATTGCCGAGTTCTCCCGTCTTTGTATATCTGCGCGCAGCTTTATTTTCTTCTGTTTTTGCGTTAGGTTCTTGGATGCGTAAATAAATCCCCTCTGCGTGGCGTGTGGCGGCTTTCTGTGCGTGAGTAATAATCCTCCCTTTCAATAATTTCCCACTACCAATCAGTGGAGAAACTAGAATCCGAATAAAGGGATGGCCGATTTTTACCTTCAAACTATGCTCGAAATTAATTAAAAAGGATAGTCCAGATTTATACCTCCTCTCGAATAGACGAGAAACTAAAAGAATCGAGAAAAATGAAGCCTCGAACGATCGAACTCGTCCTCGACAATTCGCTTATTTTTAATATTTATACATCAACTTCAGGTTCCTCTAAACAAATGCTCGGAGCTCCGAAACACTCAATAAATGGCTCGAATGGCATCGTGCCAATAAGGTCTGCACGTCCCAACTCGTTTTTCAGCAAACCGAAATCTCACGCGACCTTGCGGGGCGGACGTAAACGGCTGTTTATTTATTTTTCTAATTTGTGCACTCCAACTCGAGCTTCTCAAAATAAATTCTCGGGGCCTCGAATTGCAAAATAAACACCACGAACGGCTTCTACTCTTCTCGTACTTTCTAGAAAGCACTCCCATTAAATTTCGGTGCGCCTAACGAGGGCCGACGGGTTCTCGAAGTCGGGACATGAAAATGATGCTTAAATGACCTTGCTGCCATTTTTCTCGCCGGAAAAAGCCCGTCGGAGTGAACTGTCGGGTTCATATACTCTCGAGAGGAAGCTGTGAACATCGGCCGACGGTTGTCACTGCTGCTATAAGTGAACTCACGGCAAAAGGCTGTCGCTACCACCATTCCCGTCCTCCGTTTGCTGCTCGCAAATTCTCTGGCAGTTTCCGAACAAAACTGCAGTGTCACGCTTTGAAAAATTGAACAGAGCCAGTGGAAGGGCGCCGCCTCCGGCCGGCGACCTCGGCCCCTATACCTATTAAAAAAAAAAAA